AGTGTTCTCACCACAATGGTTAAAAATAAAAGAAGGCAATTATGTGAGGTGATTAATTGATAGGGGTAATCATTTCACAATATACACATATATCAAGTCTTCATGTTGTACACCTTAAATATATACTAATTTTATTTGTATAAATAAAAAAGCTTCATAAAGCTGTCAATACTTTTTTTAGACAGGGATAGGTGAGGTAAAGGATAGAGAATACCTAGCACATAGTAGGTCCAGTTTCTCCTCCTGTATATACTTCCTTACCCACACCTCTTCTGCTTGAACTTGATTAAATTTACTTAGAGACAAACACAGAAATCAGCCAAAGTTATTTTAATAAAGCTCAGGAATCTACTGAGGTCAGACTCAGGGCAGATTTATCTTCGTTATTGTGGCCTCAGACTTCAAAGCACTAATTCACTTAGGTGGCAGATGTGGCTGGTCCTTGGCCTTCACACAGCACAGTTTACCACTAAAGCAAAAAATATAGACCCTTTCGTTCTTGATGCATGTATCACGACAGGAGCCACGACGATTCCAACATTTCTCAGCGCCACCTAATATGAAGAGAAAAAAATGGGGGTGGAGGGGAGCCAATATCAGTCATAAGGAAAAATAGGTCCTAGATTGAGAAAACTAATAGAGAGCCAGGTAGAAAAGGGGACCATAGAAGAAGGAGTCACCTTTAGATATTTAGGGTGATGTTGTCTCACTTCCCCTCCAGATACCCCATCTCAACCCCAGCCCTTCATGAATGTTCCCTCTTAGAGGATTGTGGGTCATAATGGTGAAGAGTAGGGACTGTTAGAACCCGTAGACCTGGATGTGAAATCTGTCCGCCAACAACAAGGCACAAGCCAACTGAAAGACCTTGGGTGGGTTACTTCCTTTCTCAGGGCATCAGTTTTCTCTTTTCTAAACAGAAGATATAACACCCGCCTCAGAGAGTTATGGGAATTAAATGAAATAGTGTAAAAAAAAATCCACAAGCATTAAATAAATTTATATGTGAAGTGACAGGACCTCAGAAATGATTCAAAATTTTTAAATCATTTCATAAGTAAAAATTTACCTAGAAGGAACACATGAGCAAATAAATGAAATAAGTAATGGGTTAAGATAAATACAGGGTGGAAAAGAGGATGTTTAAACCAAAAAGAAAGGAAGAAAGAAATAAAAGGGAGTCAAAGAAAAGTCACAAGTATGAATGATAGGCCCCCCCAGAAAAATCAAACATAAAAAAAAATAGGAATCATTAAAGCAAAATACATGGGAACAGAAACAGAACGAATACTATAAACTATGTTTAATAAAATTTCCTGAAATAGAAAAATATTTGAAGACACATATTGAAAGGGTATATAGCACATACCTGAGAATATTGACCCAAAGCAAGAAACATTCTAGTAAAATTACTGGACATCACAGAAAAAGAAAAAAATGCTTTGGGCATTTAGACCGCACACAAAAAAAGCAAGTGACATAAGGGAAAGAAAACTAGACTATACTTAGACTTTTTGACAATAATGCTTTATGCCAGAAAAAGAAGAAAAATGGTGTCACATGTTTAAGATACCGAGGGAAAGAAAAAGCAAGCAAATAATGTTATATCCAGAAAAACAGACTTCAAAGGACAACAGACAAAAACAAACTGTTGTCAACATACTGAAACTCAGGAAATATTGTTCCCATGAGGAATCTACTAGGAAAAGAGCTTTACACAAGCAAAGGAGAGGGGCACTGGCACAGGACTAAATATGAAACATGAAGTTACTTTAGAACTAAAATAAAATGAGGATTTGAAAAGTGGGAGTATATAATGGCTGTATGTTCTGACAATACAGATACAATGCAGTATAAAAATGGGGCAATAATGGTGACAGCATATGCAGAAATTTTAACTAGTTTGAGTAATTATGTTATTGTTGTGGTTTGGTGTTATTGTACTGAGACTGTTGTATATGTGATGAGAGATAAAGCAAGTGAGTAATTATGGGATATTCTAATTCTATCATTCCCTGTGAAACTGAGAACCAGAATTCCCAGTATAAGGGGAGAAGAACTGATGTAATATAGAAGTTGGTTCTGAATTTGAGTTCTGAATTTGAATTGCAAGTACC